GGTATTGTGGACGACTGGCCGGAGTGGACCGCGTTTTGGCGTCGGTGGCCGGTCATCTTTAGGCAACGAGGCTTAGATAGTAGTCCGAGCCAAGGGGGCCAAGTATTTAACCACGATTTGCCACGGTCGCATTTGGCACGGGAATATCCCCCGTAGGCGCGCAGTGGTGATTAGCAGGACCTGCAGGTGTCCAGTAGTGGGCCAACAGTTGGTTTTTCTCACCCGCTGATCATGTCGGGGAATTGTCGCATCGTCGACGCTGCGATGCAATTGAGGCCAACCGATGCGAGCCATGGATCTGACGCCGTCGACCTGTGGCTCGCCATTAGAATGGGCGCACAATGTAATGTCAAACAGTGAACACCCAACAGTCATAGTGTAATACAGGGCAATTGGAGTGGTCATAGGGCCGGGAATTAAAAAAGTGAAACCGACTGCAATAGTCATCGATCCTGCCGAGGAGGGTTCCAAAGGGCTTCCAGTCATCATCCAGGACTCCGTAGTTGTGCGGGCGGATGACTCCAAAAAAAGATCGCCCACTATGCTAAGCGTTGGCTCGGGTGGCCCAATATTTTGCAGGTCAGAAGACGGCGGTGTCTCACCCGGATAATGGTATAGTCCTGGCCCTGTATCGACACTGAGGCCGACCTGAATAAGAAGGTGGCGGGAGATAAACGATGTTCATCAGTAATGAGAATCACACCAGGTTACCCACTTCTTCGCGCAATCAGCGTCGAGAACGTGATAAGGAGAGGCCCCTCGGGTCGAGGAGCCGAAGGTACCGGACGATTTCCAGAGAGTTAATTTCTGGAGATGAAGGGGGAGGGCCGCAAGTGGGCTTCTCGGAATGTGCAGAAGTACGGAGCAATCACCGGGTTCATGCTTGACACCGGGTGTCACTGGCATCAGCCTCAATGTGAGACAGCCAGGGGGGGCTGTCATTTAATTAATCCGTCCCCTGAACGCAGGCGCTGTCACGAACCCCTCCATCTCATTTCGTTAGGAATGAGGGATCAGGGACGAGGGGCCGAAGGATGAGGGAGGGAGGAGGGATGAGGGATGGGGGATGGGGACCCTGCGGCGGCCCTTCCAACTCCAAGATCCTCACCCTTCAGCCCTCCAGGCGCAGGGTAACTTGTACCCCTTGTGGCAGTAATTTCACCCGGGCGGAGCCTCCTGAACACCGGGGGAGGGAAAAAAGAAGTCGTCCTCGACCAGGATCGAACGCGCAGGGCTTTGTCCTTTGATGCCTGAATATGTCTTAGGCTGCCTCAGGCGTTGCTGTCTGTCGCTGCCTCACTGCCTGGCTGCCTGGCGACGGGTTGGGGAAGGAATGGGGAGGGCCCCGACCACTGAACCTGAGGCATGCCGCCGTCCGGCCATCTTGTTGGGCGAGATCGACCGCCACGCTGGACGTTGATCACCCGACTCGTTTCCCCTCCTTTTCCCCTTATCTTCCCTCCCCATCTTTCTTGTCCTTTGACAACAACACGACCCCCCCCCGGTCCTGCAAGATTACCATTGACCTCCTTGATTTTCATATCCCTCCGGAATATGGTTCCCAAACCCAGCAGAGCTTCTCCTCGCGCTAATCTGTCTCGCTCTGTCGCCAGCGCCTCTTCCTCGTCTTCCCCACTAGATCCAGACATGGACCGGAAAGTCTACATCCCGCTCTGCTTCTGTCTGATCTCGTTTGCGGTGATGGTCTACATCAACTGAGTCAAGGCCCCGGGAGATCATGTCGTCCCGGTCTTCCCTCTACGTACATCACCCTACCAGTCCACCGCGTCCTCGTCACCGGAGTCGTAAGGCCATCGAGTCCATACGCTACAACTCACCCCTGCGGCCCTACGAGAAAGTTGAGAACCACTCCGCGCCCCACCTGAACACTTCCCGCTTCGGCCTCGGCATCCCAACACCCCATCCGTACGACCATAGACCTGACTCAGTTGAGAGAGGCCCCGAGAACCACACGCATCTCTTGCGTTTCTTTCAGTGTCACCACCTACCGTCCCCAGCCTCCGCCATAAGCAGAAGGACCATGCATGGAGTGGCAGGAAGGAGGGAGGAAAAAAGGACCGAGCGATCGGCCACGCAAGCCCAAGAGCACGCAACCCCGCTTGCGGGAGTCTCACCGCGCGCCACATCGATCAATGACCACCTGTGCCAACCAACTCATGTGCACTGTGCAGCTGTGAATATGTCGCAGTCCCACCACTCAAGGCACCATAAAGCCGATCTGATGACTTGACCTTTCTTTCCAGCGCAACGCTAAGGAAAATCCACCTGCATAGTGACGTACGTACGTACGTACGCTGGAGCGCCACTATTGCTTGTTTGTTTACTGTTTTTTTGGTGCTATGCCAGTTGCCCCGCATGATGAGCGACAACAACCCGGCTAGTCACCAGCCTTTCTTTGTTTATTTCCTATGTCCGACGGCCATTGCATGGCACGCTATTACCTAACCGCATATCATAACTATCATATACCCGAGTCATAGTAACTCAAAGAATCCGAATATCTTCATCCTGCCCAAGAACGCAAGCGTACCCTCAAGTCACATCTCTATTAATAGCATCCCGGTCTCAAGAGTCAAGACCGAAACACTGCCTATGGAGCCCAACCCAACTGCCCAGAAACCACAAAAGCACCCATCCATCCATACTCTACTATCGAAACCCGCCCTTCCGTTCACCTTCGCCGTAGTCCAATCCAAACTGAAACTAGCCGTGCCTTAGAACCGACATCTGCAACTAGATGAGACTACCCTACCCTAGGTACCCTCCATTCCCGTCTGTACTCACAAGATAAGACACCACCACCCAAAATAGCCCGAAGACAGCCCGACCAAACGACACATGCAGTTACCGGCAGATGAGGTCTAAGATTTAGCTCAACCCTCGTGGCAGTGTCTCACTCTCCAACCCTATCTCGTATCTATCCAAGACCAGCCTATCTCCGGTAAATGAAACTTTGATAATAACACCATCCACTAACGCAACCAAATGAAACCTCGCCCGGAAGAAGAAGAAAAACAAAGAAAAAAAGAAAAATCAGCCATGTCTGCTACTAGTAGCTATCTAGCTAGGTAGAGAATCCAGTATACTACCTACCGTGTGGATAAGGTTCCCAAACTAACTAGCAAGTAAGTAAAATAACCTACTTCCCACCGGCCTAGGATCCACGTACACCACGGCATCCACACCCTATGAATCGGTTCATGGTCGGTTGGGTTCGGGTGATTATTTCGGGACCTTCTGCGGTCTTTCTAGCCGGGCGTTGTTGGGCTTCTAGCGTTTTTTTTTTTTTTTTTTTTTTCCCTTGCGAAGCTTGGAAGAGGGAAGGAAATGCAAAACAAGAAGCAAGGGCAAAAAAGGAAATCAGATCAGGTCGTGCCCGGGATCGAACCGGGATTGCTGGAATCAGAATCCAGAGTGATAACCATTACACTACACAACCGCTTGTGTTGAAGCGTGGGTGGGTTTTTGGCTATATGAGGTGGGGCTTGTGGATGACTGGGTGGATAGGGCACACCACTTCGTGGGGGGGAACTTGGGAGGGAAAGAAATTGATACCACTGTCCACGCATGTAAAACCACACTGTGGCTAAGAGTAGCTTGTGTAATATAAAAACAGTATAGGTAGAATAGTTTATTATCAAAATTATTATTATAGACAAAAGTATGTCTCTAATTCATACAAGTCAATCCCAAGCAGAAGCAAGTCAGAACAAAAAAGAAAAGCAAGAAGGTCGTGCCCGGGATCGAACCGGGATTGCTGGAATCAGAATCCAGAGTGATAACCATTACACTACACAACCTGTGATGTGTGAGCGGCACGACTTTTCACATCTTGAGCCCTGCGTACTCTCAAACAAGAAGGAAAAAAGACTAAGTTTTGGGATCATTTTTGCCTCTGACTGGGATTACTCGGTGAAAGTAACGACTCCACATTGGCATCGGAGACTCAATTATGGGGCATCTTCTTATTCTCTCGGCGGCGCTCTGTTACACAGCTTATCGCACTTGTACAGTTGACGATTGGTAGGAACGGTAGATTTCGAAGGAAAGTATTCCTATCAACCCGAGCCTTAGCCAGATCGAGTACTGGCCTCGATATCCTTCGCGACCGTTCGGATTTGGCTTCTGGACCGTTAAATCGGCTCAATGAATCCACTTTGCCTTGCGAAATGTATCCTGTTTCAACCGTTTGTTAGATAATGCTTGATGTAATTCCCCAAGGATGGATGGAGTATACGCCTTCCAAGCGAGGTAGCCACTCGGGGGTGCTTCTGCTGGGGCCTAGATAGATTCGGTTATAGAAACAAACATCGACAGGCCAATCAATAGTCAATTGTATTGCTCATGAGTTGCCGTGATTCCGTAGACTTTGTCTCCAAGGGGAGGGAGGTCTAGATCATCCAGGCCGGCTCAATGCGCTCCAGTCGAGGCCGGACACAGAATGCCTTTTCCCTCACTTTATCTGGTATAGGTGGGGGGGCTGCCCTGGCCAGACACCTGCCATGGATTTGTACCATCGCTAGAAAGGAGTCGAATACTAGTATTAGAAAAGTATGGGTTGTTTGGTTCATGGTACCGACAGAGTCCAGAAGGCGCTCGTCTCGGGCGCCGGACGGGCAGCCGCAGGCCTAGACCACTGCAAGGCTGGAGTTGTGGGGTTTTTGTGGAACATAAGCCAGCCACTCCCGTTGCAATATTTGATTGTTTCCATCGCCTAGCGTCTCTAGATCTATATCTCTGCTCGCTGGAGATGATGGCTACTGCTATCTTTGTTGAAAAGATGGCGAAGATGACTGTAGGACTATGGCCGTTAAGCGTCCACTGACTGGCTCAGCAACAATAAAACAAGATATCTTTCATTTGTATATAGAATAGAAAGGTCTGCTCAAAGGATCGACGCTAGATTTCCTATAGTATGAGGGGGTCTACGATGCAGCAAAAAAAAAGAGAATGGCGGGTTTGACCAACAGAAGAGGACATGACCGTGCCCGGGTTCGAACCGGGATCGCTGGAGTTTAACGTCCAGAGTACTGCCATTATACCACACGGCCATAGCTCTTGTGCGCGAGGAAATAGCGTTAACTGGATCAAGTACACGAAATCCAGGACTGTCCCTTCCTTATTTCAGGCGTTGATTCATACCTGGTGGTCAGAAACTGTTCCCAAAAAGAAGTGTGGGTTCGGATTCCGTCAAATAGATGAGTAGTTGGGATGCAGGGATAAATGGAGGGGGGCAAAAAAAAAGAGCGCCTTGGAGACCGATCCCGGTTTCGAACTGGGACACTGGACCTGGGCCCCAAGGGTCCACCGTGGTGGACAAGCTGCCACTTGCACCACACAGCCTCCAAGGCTGTAGGCAGCACGGTTTTCTTGCTTAAACCCCATGAATCCATTCCTCTTCCCTCCTTATTTCTCCTCCTAACCCACCTGTGGTGATCAGAATCTGTTTCAGAAAAAAAGAGGAGAAAGAAAAGAAAAAAGAGAGTAGCCAGATCATTAAATAGATGAGTATTTTGAAAGGTGAGATGTGGCAAAAAAATTGCTTAGGCTCGAGCTTAAGGAAAACGAAGACTGTGCCCGGATTCGAACCGGAAACCTCTGGACCCCGGAAGGGTTGCTCCAGCGTGCTTCCCACTTGCACCACACAGCCTTCAGGCAACAGGTATGGCCGTTGGGGGACTTAAAGACGAGGAAGCGATTCCTTTAATCACCCCTGAATCGATCCCTGGCAGGCAGATCTGCTTCAAAAGAAGCTATCAGGTATCATCAGGTATATGGGTATCGTAGGAGGGCGGAGATGGATTGCAATCGTGCGACTGGGGTCGATCTGCGACCTCTGGGCAGCACCAGTGGGCAGCGCTGGCTTGTTCGAATCATCGGAAACGAGGCCTCGCAGAGGCAGGATCTGTTTCAAAAAAAGATATGTTAGATGTCATAGAGAAGCGTAGCCTTAAAAAAAATCGGGATCAAAAAAGAAGAAATGGCGTCTAGAGACCAAGGAAAACGAGGCCTGTGCTCGGGGTCGAACCGGGATCGCTGGAGTGTGAGTCCAGAGTGCTGCCCATTGCACCACACAGGCCTGTTCCGCTTGAGCTAGGCGTTGGCGGGCTTAAAGCGATTCAATCCATTCTGTTTCTACCCTATTGAGAACCATAATCTCATTCTGTAAGGGTTTCAGGGTATCAAGAAGAGGAGTCAATGGTTTAGGGAAGATGAGCAAGTCAAGGAACAGAGACATAAGGGGGGGGGGGGGGGGGGGGGACAAAAAAAGGAAAAAAAAAAAAAAAAAAAAAGGGGGGGGGGGGGGGGGGGGGGGGGGGGGGGATCAAAACAAGGGCGAAAGAAAAATGAAAAAGTGAGGGGTAGACGGGGGGGCGTCCGGGTTTTGTACTCGGGCACTAGGGGGGTCTACTGTTCGGTTTCACAGCACACCCCCACCCTCGCCGGTGTCGGGATTGGCCAGCTCATCATGGACCCACCCGATCATTTAGCGCCACTCCACCACGCGTTGGGCAGCAGCATGCCAGCAAGAAACCTCCCGTCAGAATAATACCGCTCTTCTGGGTTGTTCTGTGTCTGTTATGGGGTTGCAGGTAGGTAGTATACTGTAGGATGGACACTCGGTCAGTTAGTACTATTAGGACCCTTGGGGTAAGGGATGGGGACAGCCGATTGGAAATACATAATTGACGATATTTGACGAACAGAGGATATTTCAGGTATGGAAAGCATACCACCTGCGTACCATCTCCAGTCACTTTTAATGGAAACCGTACAGAGTACGGAGTGGGGAATCGACATAAGTAGACACTCGCGCCTTCCCACTGATCTGACCAGATCATTGAAATCGACGACGAATACTGGGAATAATGATGGTCGAAGCGAGTCATTTATTTCGCTGCAGAGAAAGACACCTGAATTTCGCTCATAAGTAGTGAAAGATGGAGGCCCATGGGAGAATCTTACAGATAAGCCTACAGTAAACTGACTGCGAGCAACTGGTATTCAATTGACTTTGCATGGACAGCATTGCATGAATCAAATACTAGTTATATTCACCTGTGGCTTCAGATAGACAATGCCTACTTCCTTACCTTAGCCACATAGAACCCCATCGAGACCCGCATTATCGATATAAAGCCCATTGTCACAAGAGTCTAAAGGGAAGCCCACCATTTACCGTCAGTTTTTGAGCCAAGCGAATGAGTTAATCTACAATTATCCCCCACGCTGCATGCTTTTACCGAAAAGCTCGTCTACGATGTCTTTATGCGTTTCTCAGATGAGCGCCTAAGACTCATATCCTACGATCGGATACATTATATCCAGGTAAGACAATCTTCATCGACTCAACCATCCCAAAGATCTGTACCGAGAGCTAACAAGCCATCTTAAATCCAAGCCAGAGCCACTTCATGAAACCCCCCTCAACCAAGATATACATACATACCTGAAACATAGAATACTGGCCTTAACTTCGCCGGTGGCTAAGACTATGAAGAGTATCTCATGTCCACCTCGCCCAGGTCTTCTTTCCTTCATCTTCTCTATTCTATTTCCCTTCATCATTCCCTCTCATATCCTTCTCCTTTACTCTCGTACTCCCTATCCACCATCTCCGAATCAACAGATTCTGCACCAAGAAAGCAAACTGACGACCCAAAGGCCAATTCCCTGACAGTCCGAGTCCAAAATCCAACGAAGACGCCCGTTAACCAACGACCCAAAAAGATCCATACCGCAGAGCTATATATACCAAAGACAAACCCCAACCAACATTTCCGATGAAGCCCCAAACGAAGCCAAGTTCCCATAAACAATCGAGAGAAAAGACAGCCCTTCACTCATCACTCCAATCTCAGATTCCTCCACAAGAAAACCAACCCTCTTACAGCAACTATACAACCGGAGAAAGAGTCAAGTTTTACGTCAATGATCTACTCATCGTACATCCCTTCTCGTTTATTTTCCGACTCGCTCGATTTCTACCTGTAAAATGTAGAGCCTACCTATTCTCAAAGAGATACAACCCATTCAGGTGTGTACACCCAGAACCAAAGATACTATGTATATACCACTTACTAAACTGATAGGTGTATCCCCACTCTAGCCAGCCCACTTACAGTCGAAGCCAGGACGGCTAAAATTAAGTTATACTCATAGAGTAAACCACCACTGCGACCATTAGCTAAGAAAAGAGGAAAAGAAATAGAAGTATTGTGAAAAAACTTATTAGTGTACGCACTATCCGCTTCATAGTGCTAGAAAACAACGAAACTTTCATAAAATCTGGTTGTGTAGTGTAATGGTTATCACTCTGGATTCTGATTCCAGCAATCCCGGTTCGATCCCGGGCACGACCTTTTTTTGTCTTTCTCTCTCTTATTTTTTTACCTTTGTCAGACGGTATCTATATTGGCATAGATTGAACTGAACGGTCGCACTACACTGGTCTGTTTACTCTTTTTACATTGTATAGGGGGGTTTTGCACGGTGCTATATTTGAGCAATGCCGAGTCATCATGACATGTCTAGCTAGCATATTATGTCTCTACATTCGTTATACATCAAAAGTCGAAACGCATGAACGGCATCAACAGTTATGATTCACCGTACCTCCCGGCAAAGCAATCAACTCGAGAAATCCAAGCTGCCAGATACATCGGAACACGGGAACCCATATCGCAGTCAGCTTGGTTAGGAGGCGCCAGCGCCAGCGCGCGTCAATTCTTCACGCACATGCATGGCATGATAGAAGCTGACAGTAGCACGGTTCGTCAAGGGACATCTTCTTATGAAGAGTCTTCTGGTGTTCAGGATTGAGCGGAAATGGCTGAGGGGTCGTCTAGGAGGGGACTCCCGGGAACGGCATCCAGGGCGACAGCGTGTAGTGCTGGCTTGTCCGCGTCCTGCAGCAAGCCACGTTCGCGTCTGTCCAGTCTCTCCTTGACCCACTCTGCCACCTCTTCATCCTCCGTCATTGTAGAACCTCCCTCCTTCGAGCCGTTGGTCGTTGCAGAGGGCACCTCTTCGCCTTCAGTAGGAGGCTGCATCAATGGCGAGAGCCAAGGATGTCTCAGTAGCATGTTATACGATGGGCGGTTGTTCGGGTTCTTATCCAAGCATGCGCGGACGAAGGCGTGTGCATCTTCAGAGTAGCCGGTTTCTGGGAGTGTTGGTGCGTCTCCGTGAACGATGGCCTAGGGTTGCGTCAGTTTAAATACCGTGAAGCGACAGACGACACAAGATACTCACGTGTAGTTGACTGAAGATGTTGTTGAAAGTCTCCGGCGGATATGGGTACCGGCCAATAGCACACTCGATGATGGACAAACCCAAGCTCCAAACATCACTCTGGACACTGTAGGTCCCACCACCACTCGTTCCGGACTGCTGCATGCCACCACCCGCAATGCGCTCGGGCGCCATGTAGCTCTGGCAGCCGATATTTGTCTTCGCAATACTGGCGACCAAATTTCCACTTACACCAAAATCACAGATCTTGATCTGTCCGCGAGAGTTGACGAGGATGTTTGTGGGTTTGACGTCGCGGTGGATGATGTTGTGGTCATCCTTGAGCGTCTTCAAGCCCATGACAGTGGATAATGCAACCTTGCGAAGGATGTTCTCCGGCATTCCGTCCTTGTAGATCTTATCGATGGAGCCGCCATCCATGTACTCAACACAGATGTAAACCGCTCCCTCCTGGAAGAACGCGCCATAGAAATCGATGATGAAGGGTGAAAGACAGCGGTGGAGAATCTCCAACTCCATGATAATTTGTGCGAACTTGTTCTCGTCCAATTCCAAACGAATTTCTTTCATCGCCATGACAATCCCAGAAAGATTATCCTGCGATTTCGCCGCTGCCGCATCCTGGTCCGCAGCCTCAGTACGACTGACGATGCCTCGTAAGCCCATACCAGGTTTCCGCATGTGAGGACGACTGTGGCGAACTTTGTAAACCGTTCCGTAGTTACCCTTGCCCAACTCATCGAGACGATCTACCTCGTCCAAGGAGATATTGAAACTGTGACCCGACGAAAATTCAATACCGCCACCATGGAGGATTGCCTTGTTCTTAAAATTCAAGGTTCCCGCTTTCGTATCAATAAATTCCGAGTATTTGCTGAACGCCGTCTCAGGGGCGCTAGGTTCGTTGTTGGACGGCTGGCCTGGAGCTGGACTGCTGAGGCCCGTGGCATCCGAGAGCTTTAGTCCGGGCTTCATGCGCTTCGCAGCCAACCCACCGGGCTTGGGAGAATTGGGAACCGGGGAAGCTCCATGAGGTACATTAGGCGACGATGCCCAGTTCTTGGTTCCAGGCCGGACACCAGCAGGGGGTAAGTGCCCTGCGAAAGCACCTGCCAACGGGTTCGAGCCAGACTGCCCCGGGACAGGAGTCCCACCGGGAACCGATGGGGAGGGCTTGGGCACCAGTCCGGTGGAATTTGAATGCGATAAGGGCGGCGGAGCTCCCTGTCGAGACAGAGAGAAGGCCTTCATCTTTGCCAAAATATCCTGGTTCAATCCTCCAGGTTGCGCACCACTCATCGAGGCCTGTGGCCGGGGAGTTGTACCTGCTCCGCGCCGCGCCGCATTGATCTGACCCAGATGTGTCGAGGATGGGGTAATCTTGGGGTTTTCTAGGGTTGGGCGTAAGGATGGTACCGGAGCGAACGGTTGGGTCGCACCCAGGGAAGCGGAGAGGTCATCATCGGTAGTATCGGATCGATTGTCTAGATCCGACATGGCTCTGGGGATGTCCGCAAGAGGCTCCCTTTCTGTTGCCATGGTTGAAGCACGTGCGAACGGGACAACTGGCACTAGCAATTGGGGTGTGAGGGCCCGAGAGTGCCGTCAAAACAGTCTCACAGACGCAGGGGAACGGGGGGGCATGAACGGAGGAGGACGGGAGGGAGAATCGGAGCGGTCGGAAAATTGAGGCGACCGGTTCGTTTGGAAAACGAGAAGGTGGAAAACCCGTCGCGAAGAGAATTTCGATATTGGTGGAGACCAGACGTTTAGCAAAGGCGGAGGTGGAGGAAAAGCAGGTTTCGTTGACGCGGGGCTCACTCA